TTGTAAGAGTTGTGGATGTAAATATAACAATGTAACACCAATTTTAATTTCTTCAATGCATTTAGAAGCAGTTGATGGTCCATACATTTACGTAACAATCATCCGTTCTATATTACGTCCAATGAAAGACATGTAATAAAAATCACATTGCATGATAACAGCAAACTACCTTAAAAAAAAACAAACCTAATTGTAGACATTTCAGTATATAACAAACCAATAATATTAAAATAGTTCTGAGACATTAAATTGGGAATTTAGATAATTTTAAAGCAAACCTAGTTTTTTGACCAAATAAGCAAACCAAATATTAAACAAATTTTTTTTTAAATTGGGACTTTAGATAGCGGTTCTAGAAACCGCTATGTAAACCTACTAAACAGAGCGGTTCTACATACAACCGTTATTAAAAGTATATTTTAGATACCGGTTAACATGGACCCGCTATTATATGTTTACTTTTAAGAGCGGTTAAAATATTAACCGCTCTGCAAAGTCAATCAAATGTCGCTTGAGCGAGCCTATAGTCGCTCAAGCGAAAAACAACCCGAGAATCCCCATTCTAGCAGGTGGCTTTGCTCGGGCGATGATACATTCGCTTGAGCGACTTTACAAAATGAGCGAATATGATCGATTATTATAGCTTATAGTCGATTATTCCCAGACCTTAGACATCGGTTAACGTTTAACCGCTATCTAATACATATTTTTAAAAGCGGTTCCTATTAACCGCTATGTAAGGTCGCTTCGGGTTCAGTCGCGCTCAAGCGACTCTGTAATCGCTTGAGCGAAAATTGACTCTTATATGTGGTGAACCAAGATTTATTAGATGGCTAACTGCGTAGGACGTTTCGTCTATGGTTCACCAGTCGCTCAAGCGAGGATGACATCGCTTCAGCGCTGGAACCTTAACCAAAGGGGACCCTCGCCTTCACAGTTTGGGGCTATCACCTCCTTCGTGGTCACAGCTTGGGCACTTGAAGTGGGTACTTGAACCATCAAATTAAAATTCAAAGCCCAAATCACCAACCATATTAAACCCTACACCAAATGAACAGACACCAAACTTAAACATAGACGGACCAGAGCCGGGAAAGCACGAACGCCGGCGAGAGATCACTTTGATCTCCACCTATAATCGATCATTCTCAAATATAATCGGTTATCGAACATTATGATCGATTAATAGGCAAATATAGTCGATCACTTTGACATATAAACTTTCGTTAGAGAGCGGTTAACAGCAAACCGCTATCTAATATATCTTTTAAAAAGCGGTTCTCAGTAACCGCTATCTAAGGTGTGTGGTATGTGGTTCAATATTCGCTCAAGCGACTCTGTACTCGCTTGAGCGAAAAGTGATTCTAATATGTGGTGAACCAACTTAAATTATTAGGCTAACTGCGTTTGACGTTTCGTCATTGGTTGTAATCTCGCTCAAGCGACAATGTTATCGCTTGAGCGAATAATCCTTCTAACAATGGGGACTCTCGGGTTCTGTCTCGCTCAGGCGACGCTGTACTCGCTTGAGCGAAAAGTGATTCTAATATGTGGTGAACCAGCTTAAATTATTGGGCTAACTGCGTTTGACGTTTCGTCATTGGTTGTAATCTCGCTCAAGCGACAATGTTATCGCTTGAGCGAGTAATACTTCAAACAATGGGGACTCTCGGGTTCTGTCTCGCTCAAGCGACTCTGTACTCGCTTGAGCGAAAAGTGGTTCCAATATGTGGTGAACCAACTTAAATTATTGGGCTAACTGCGTTTGACGTTTAGTCATTGGTTGTAATCTCGCTCAAGCGACAAAGTTATCGCTTGAGCGAATAATCCTTCAAACAATGGGGACTCTCGGGTGCTGTCTCGCTCAAGCGACTCTGTACTCGCTTGAGCGAAAAGTGATTCTAATATGTGGTGAACCAACTTAAATTATTGGGCTAACTGCTTTTGACGTTTCGACATTGGGTGTCATCTCGCTCAAGCGACAAAGTCATTGGTTGTAATCTCGCTCAAGCGACAAGTGTATCTAATATGTGGTGATCCATGTTATATTGTTTGGCTAACTGCGTTTAACGTTTCGTTTTGGCTACCTGTGTTGGACGCTTTCTTTACAACTATTAAGCATGAATCTTGTCACTTGTACAATTTGTTTACAACGTAAACCTATACATCTTTCCTACAATAAATCTTGTCACTTGTACAATTTCTATATGCTAGTTTATATTGTTCGCTTCCCTTGTTCTTTTAATCTGAATTTCTTCTTTTATATTCAATATCAACATCTTGCCATCAGAAATTCAAATGGAAATTAATGACCATTTTGTGGGTGATGGCCATGCTCCATATATCATCCAAGCATGTGGTATGAGGATAGTTCTACCCTTATCAGCCAATCCAACATGCCCTTTAACAGTTAATACTATAGAGGAGCATCCTCATTTCATATGTTCGTAACATATAAATCTGGTACTAATTACATGTACTTTGTAGACAATATTTATAATGTCATAATATTTAACATTTAAATGATCCATAACCAACTTAACAGTTATATTACATATGATTAGACTGTACAACATTCATCAATGAAGATGAACAAAGAATCAAATACAATATCTAAATTTCTACTCCTACATGAGGATGTTAACTCCTGATTCAGTAACCATGACTTGTCGATGGAGATTTTCAGGATGAAGTACCCATCTGCATACATATTCTTCTCGAAATTTCTGAACTTGCTCCTGTACAATATGAAGAATGTCATAATAAATTGTATTCATAGTAATAAAAAACAAAACAATAATACAATGACTTTAATGTTTACCGATGTGTAATGAGGCATGCTTCTCCCATTCACTTTGCTCACACCATCCCACAACTCTATATATTTTAAAACAAACAATCCACAATCATATCTGCACAATTGATTTTCTTCTGTTTTAGATCTCCATATGCGCTGGTCCGATAAAAGTTGTTGCAAGTCACATGACGCACCACTGGAGGAAGGTATGTCCGTATTCTCAATTTGTGAATGCGTCAAAGCTTCTTGCACAACTTTCATTGTCTGATCATCCACAGACAGTGCCCAATCCCATACAATCTAACATATAAAGGAAAACTTTATATGTTAGGAACATAATATAATAAGTCCACATTTTTAAGGAAAATTTATATATGTTGTACACAAAATTTCTTACATTGTTTGAGATGAATACACGTTCTATTTTGGACCTTCGAATGTTCACTTTAGGCCATTCAACAAAACGCGGAAAACAAATCTTTCGTGGTGGATCAGTAGGCAAAGACAGGTGCTCCACTGCCCAGATCTATTACATAATAAAATGTCATCAGTCACAATAATTTCATATCAACTAATAAATCAACGAACGAAGCCAAGCGACAGGAAGTCGAGCGCCGTCAAGAGCGAGATGGAGAAATTTTACCCTAAGTCGAGGGAGAAGAAGTCGAGTGAGGAAGAGCGCGAATGTGAAAAGCGAAAATGAATGTAACAAAGAAGAAGACGCTTTTTCTAACATTTAGATAGCGGTTATTTGGCCAACCGCTATCTAAACTATACATTATGATCGATTATTATCCAATTATAATCGATCAGATTGACATATATGACTTTAGATAGCGGTTATTTGGCCAACCGCTATCTGAACTATGCATTATGATCGATTATTACCCAATTATAATCGATCAGTTTTATATATATGACTTTAGATAGCGGTTAATTGGCCAACCGCTATTTGAAGTATACATTATGACTTTAGATAGCGGTTATTTGCCCAACCGCTATCTGAACTACATTTATTATAGCGGTTATTTTGCCAACCGCTATCTAAGGTCTCCTCGCGCTCGAGCGACTATGTAATCGCTTGAGCGACAGTGACAGTTGAACCTTTACCAAACGAAAGTAAACTCCTGCAAATCCTGGAAGGAGAAAAGTGTACCCTTGAGTTACTTTTTCTCATATGAGCTCGTACAAAGGCGCCAAGAGCTTTCTTATTCACTCTTGGCGGGGACTACTACTGGGAAACCAAACGAAAGGAGCGATAACTTTTTATGCTGTTGGCTGCTTGGGCGCTTACTCTGCTCTCGTCTATGCCCTTGGTGTGACGCAGCTGGGTATCGATTTGACTTTCGGATCTTTAGGTGGCACTCACTGCCCCGTCTTTGCTCTACAAACTCATGGAAAGGCAGGAGCCTGGAAGTCAGGAAGAACGACCCCTTCAATTCTTCTATAACATCCCCCATTTTTACAATATTACATATCTGAACCCATACAATTTTACTAATCAAACCCTTATTTTTAATTAATTTCTTTTTAGCCCCGGTTGTCTAACAGTTGTTTGTTTTCGGTTGTCAAAGAATCGTTTTCCTTAATCATAAGAGGGTTCATGACAAGCTTAGTTAGTTTATCTCAATTGATATAACCTAGGGGTTGTGTCCCCTCAAAGTTTTGTAACTCTCCTGTAATTTATGATTTTGGCCCCCAAACTTAATAATCATTTAATATATTTATTTTTATATATACAATTTTATCATCTCGAGTCTCTCATTATAACTCTCTTATAATTTATGATTTTGTCTCCCCAAAACTTAATGATTATTTAATATATTTACTTATACATTTATAATTTTATCCTCTTACCCTTTCATTTTCTTTCATCCTATTATATTTATTTATTATTTATTAATAATATATGATCTGTTTCTCCAAAATCAATGGTCAAGATTCATCATTGTATTGATTATTGACATTTTGTTTATATCTGATTTACCAAGATTATTAGAATTGAACTCATGCCTTTAAGCAAAGGTTATTGTATTAGTTTGAGTTCCAATCTCCAAATAGTCTTTTTGGCTGTTGTGGTTTAGCTTTATTGACACCTCTATTTTGTCCACTTCAATGTCTTTCCTTATGTTTATATCTTATAAACTCATAATCACTCTCTTAATGGGGAATGATCTTAAGTATAAAAATTTATGAGAAACTCCTACGCTTGCACGCCTGTTACAACATGTTTTTGCATGCCAGATTTCTTTCACAATCCAAATAATCAAATAAATAATTCAAAATAATATTAGATAATATTAATTAATGTAATTTTGAGTTATTTAATTATTTGGATCATAAAAAAATATTTTTGCTTTAGTTATTTCTCCACCTCTATCAAGAAGACCAAACAAGAAAGAGTGCTTCTTTATCTAATTGGCATTTCTTTCTTTACTATTCAATCTATTTTTATTAATGCCGTCAAAATGCAAATGTATACCAATACTTTTTTTCCCATTATTTTATATCTCCATGGCAACACCAATGTTGGGGTGTGTGAATAGGCATATAGGCAAGGTAACCAAACCAACAATTATACATGTAATGAAAACCAATCATAAGTACCATATCCTCACTGTCTATACACTCAATAACAGAACAAAAACATAATCCACTTTGCTCCACTTCAATCACATTGGTACAAGTAAGAATGATTATATCTCAACTCAACTCAACTCAAAGAATTTCTTTCATTCCATATCTACATCATCTTGTGGAGTCTAGGGTGCCAAAAATGCAGCCAAATTTGGCATTCAACACTTGCAGCATGAGTATTGTTATATATCTACACAAACAAGTTTCATTCTTGTATCCATGTATTGCTACTACCTTTTCCTTTTCAACATAGTTGCATATTATATGTCCGCATCTAGTCTGTCAATCACATCCAGTGCTCTCTTTTTGTCGATAACAAAATCAATAATAGGAAGCTTAAACAAAATTCTATTAAAAGAAAATTCCTTGTGTTTTACTTGTTGATGAATAACTGCTACTCTTGGTAAGTCTTCCATTATCTGTCAATCCAATCTTTCACACTGTCAAAGTCCAAGCTTTTACTGATCCCTCTTCTACGAATTGTATTACTAACATCTTGCAATATTTGTTGTTCGTCACTTGTTAACAATGGTGGTAAGGCTTTTGTAGATTGTTGATTTTCAGTTTGTGGGGTAGTGTTGACATGGGACTTTAAGGTATATCTCATTTCTCCTGTATCAATACCGGATTTACTTTTGATGGCCAAGCGGTGAAGCCATGGGAGAAGTTTGAGAATATAATTTTCTACTTCTTTATCAGCATGGTGAAGTGTTTCAATCCTCATCACTTCAGCCTTCATGGTCTTCTTATTCAGCTCAGAGCTGCAAGAAGCAAACAAGAATTTGAAAAAATAGAGGAGCATAAAAATAAAGAAGAAAAAAGAGGAAACAGTAAAACATCAAGTTTCATTTTATTAATAGAAATAGAAGGTTGCTTACCTAGTGCTTGCCCACTCCCCTACCCAACCAAAACCATAATGTGCTCTGAATCAATTTTTGAGTAATCAATCAAAAGAACAAACACTTAATTCATATAGAAAGTAAATGCATTGGTGCAAAAAGAAATTTTCTTATTTGTCAAAGAAAAGAAAAACAGCAAAATTCTGAAACAGATAGTACGGAGCCAGGCATCTTACTTGGCTGTGTTTGTAGCAATTGGAACTAGCCAATGCAATGTTTTCTCCATCTCTTGTTTAATATCTGATATTTTTTTGGAGTTCTTACAGGGTTATAATAATGCAATTTTTTTGGATGACAGTACTTGGATTGTCTGAGTATTTGACTCTGAAAATTGTATTTGCTATTGCTGGAGGTATTATTATTCTTATTGCTTTGAGAGATGATCACTTGAAAATTTGTTAGGATTCTTGTTGATATTGATCTAAATATTCTAGTTCTTGTTTAAACATTTGATGGATCATTAAGACTTTTTGTTTTTTATTTATGGAATTGAAGTATAAGAAATTACTCTCATTGCCAATCTTTGATGAAAAAAAAAGAAAAAAAAAGAAAAGAGATGGTATAAAACAAATCAGATTTGAAAAGAAAAAAGAAAATGAAAGAGATGATTTAGATGTGGGGGATTATTTTGCATGTGTGAAGACTATTATAGAGAATACGTAACCCGATGTTAAGATTTTGGATGAAAAAGAAAAGAAAAAGTTATTGCTCAAAATTTGGAAACTATTTGGAGATTCATATTGGAACATTGCAAGCTTACAACCATGTCAGCTCATGTGGTCTATATTTTCATCAAAATTTAACTTCTTTTGTAGTCTTGAATGACTTTCTAATTTTGAGATTTAGGTGATTGTTCTTATTATACTATTACAACTTATTATTTCAGTTAGAGTTTGTTAGCTCGTTCTGTTAATCCTTTGATATTTCTTCTTGTATAAATAATGTCCTCTATGCGTACATAGTTAATGAGAAATTCATTCTTGTTCTTTTTGTATTCTTTTCTCTGCCACTTCCATGCATAATATGGTATCAGAGCAATTTTCTTTTGCATTCTCTTCTCCTCTTCTCATAATGGAGGACGCTTCAAACCCTCTCTTCTTTCACCATTCAGATGGTCCTGGCCTCAGCCTTGTTTCTTAATCTCTCACTGGTTCTAACTACAATACTTGGAGCTGTGCAATGATCATTGCCCTTTCTGTCAAGAACAAGCTTGGTTTTATTGATAGTTCTCTCCCTCAGCCTACCGCAGATGATCCTAACCTTGCTGTTTGGTTTCACTACAATAATGTTGTAATTTCTTGGTTGTATAATTTAGTTTCCAAAGACATTGTTGCCAGTATCTTGTATTTTCGATTGGCCTCTAAAATTTGGCAAGATTTAAAGATTCGTTTTCAATAGAAAAATGGTCCCAGGATTTTACAGCTTCGCAAGGAATTGGTCCTTCTTTCATAGGGTCAAGATTTTGTTAGCTAATACTACACCAAGCTTCAGTCAGTATGGGAAGAATTGACTGCTTTCAAACCTGTCTGCAGTTGCTCTTGTGGAGAAATTCGTCCCCTTCTTGAAAATTTTGCTACTGAGCATGCTATGTCCTTTTTTATGGGACTCAATGATTCATTTTCTCATATCCGTAGTCAGATTTTGCTCATGGATCCTATACCTCCTATCAGTAATGTTTTCTCCCTTGTCAGTCAAGAAGAAAAACAGAGAGAAATTGGGATGCCTTCAACCTCTATTGTTGAATCTCCACATGCCTTTGTTGTCAAGGTTCTTGTAAAGTCCTTTAAGCCTGGCAAGAAGGATCGCCCTTTATGAAGCCACTGTGGAGTTCTTGGTCACACCATCGACAAATGTTTCAAACTTCATGGTTATCCTCCCAGATTCAAGAACAAATATAAAGGTCAAAATGTGGTTGCTCAAGTTTCCGAATTTAACATTACCAATCAGCTTTCAGCCTCCCAGTGTCAACAATTAATTCACATCCTATCCTCCCAATTAACAACTCCTTCTACTTCAAATAATACCCCTGAAGAATTAGCCTTCACTTCAAGTATTGCCCTGTCTATTGCTAAATCCACTGTTCTTTCATCTTCTTCCTATTGGCTATTGGATTCTGGTGCATCAAATCATATTTGTTTCTTTCAAAATGTTTGATTCACTTTCTGTTTTATCCAACTCGTTTGTTACTCTTCCTAATGGATAAAAAATTCCTATTCAAGGCATAGACAACATCCAATTATCTTCACATTTGTTCTTATCAAATGTTTTGTACATTCCCTCTTTTACTTTTAATCTTATTTCTTTGAGTGCTCTTTTGTCTGTACACACTTATAATATCACTTTTTTTGACAATTCCTTCATTATTCAGGACAAGCAAACTTTAATGATGATTGGGAAGGGTGAAGCCCAAAATGGTCTATATTTTCTCAACATTGAACCAAATCTTGTTAAACCTGTTTGTAATTCTGTATCACATTGTGTTTGGTATCACAAACTTGGTCATTTGTCACATGATTCTTTTGTTTCACTCAATAATAAATACAAACTTGTTTCTTCTAAAATTCCTTGTTCCATTTGTCATATCTGTCCATTAGCTAAACAACATAAATTGAGTTTTGTTTCTAACAATCATATCTCTTCTCATGCTTTTGATTTGGTTCACATTGACACATGGGGTCCTTACCATGAGCAAACACATAATGACAAAGGATACTTCTTGACTCTGGTAGATGATCATACATGATATACATGGTTGTTTTTAATGTAGCAAAAGTCAGAAGCAAACAAGATAATCATGGATTTTTTTGCTTTTGTTGACACTTAATTTGGTATTAAAATCAAATGCATTAGATCTAATAATGCAAAGGAGCTTGCTCTCACTGATTTTTTGCAATCTAAAGGAGTTACTCATCAGTTTTCTTGTCCAAAACGGCCACAACAAAACTCAGTTGTAGAAAGAAAACATCAACACCTTTTGAATGTTGCAAGGTCTTTGATGTTTCAGTCTCAGGTTCCTTTATCTTTCTGGGGTGATTGTGTTTTGACTGTTGCCTTTATCATTAACAGAATTCTATCCAAGGTATTGAAGCTACAACCTCCTTTTGAATTATTGTATCAAAAACAACCAAATTACTCAGCCATGAGAGTTTTTGGTTGTCTCTGCTATGCATCAACTATTTCCTCTCAAAGGGATAAATTCACTCCAAAAGCCAATCCTTCAGTTTTTGTTGGATATTCTCAAGGTTACAAAGGATACAGACTATACAATTTAGTCACTAATAAATTCTTCATATCAAGAGATGTTGTTTTTCATGAGGCAAATTTTCCTTTTCACCAAACCCAATGGCGATCACAAGAGTTCCCACCATACAATGAGGTTGTCATTCCCACCTTCTTTGATGATCCATATATTACCTTCCAACCTACTAATATTTCCAACAATGACCAGAACAACAATTCTGACTTAGTTGCTCCCTCATCCCAACTTGTCAGTAGGCATGGCAACGGGACGGGGCGGGTTTTGCCTCACCGATCCTCGCCCCGGACTTTTTTTAATTGCCCCCGCCCCGATCCCCATTGAGGCTAAAAATTAAGTCTTCATCCCTGTCCCCGTCGGATTTCGGGTTTCTCACCCCTATATATAAATAAATATTTATAATTTTACGATCTATAGTTATTATTAATTAAATATATGTTTTAATTTATTATATTTATATTATGTAAAAGAAATATTTAATCATTATATATATATAATATTTATAACATTATTATTATTATTATTATTATTATTATAACACTGTATTCAAATATTTGAATACTTATAACATTATTATTATTATTATTATTATTATTATTATACCGTATTCAAACATTTGATTATATATATATATATATATATATATATATATATAAAAGTTAATTTATTTTTAAGTGTCATTTAAAAATATGAAATATATAGTTTATAAGAAAATTTTTAATAATTTAATTCTTATTTAGTTAGTTCGAAGTAATAAAAGTTTAAATTATCAATTTTTTTAATCCTTTAAAATATAATGATTTTAGTAAGATAAAATTTGATATATGACAAATAAGAATAATAAGATCCGAAAAATATGACATAATAAAACTTAATAAATATAAATTATAAATAAAATAATATTTGTTACTACTAAGATTTATGTAAAATATTTAAGAAAAGATAAAGAAAAAAATTAACTTTGTGTTCATCAAATTAGTTGAAAAGATTAAAAAAAATTGATTGGAGAGATTAAGAAATTGTTAAAAATTAAAAGGTAAGAAAAAGTGAATAATGTAATAAACTAATTGATATAAAATATTAAAAAAGACAAAATAATTAAAAAGTGGGTAGAAGAAAAATTGGTAAAATATAAAAAAATGATCTTATATATAATAGAAAAAGAAAAAGAAATACTTTTAAAATATTAATATTTTAAAATTTAAATTTAAATATAAAGTCACGGTGGGGATTGCATTACCCATCACCGTCCCTCGGTCAACTCGATTTTTTCTCGTCAAACTCGGGACGGAAACGAGTCGGTACCCACGGGTACAAGTTTAAATGTCATCCCTACTTGTCAAAAAGTCTACTAGAATCCATAAACCTCCCTCACACCTACAAGATTATCATTGTTACAATGTTAACTCCTCTTCCCCTCATCATATTACCAATTTCATTTCATATCATAAATTGAAGCCTCATTATCAATCCTTAATTTGCAATATATCTGCTGAGTATGAACCTCAATTCTATCATCAAGCTTCCAAATTCTCTCATTGGAAGACAACAATGCTAGAAGAATTACAAGCCATGAAACCAAATAACACTAGGAGTTTGGTTCCTTTGCCTGCTGGAAAACATAGTGTTGGTTGTAAATGGGTATACAAAGTCAAATACAAGGTTGATGGCAGTGTAGATAAATATAAGGCTAGGCTTGTGGCAAAGGGTTTCACTCAACAAGCTGGTTTGGACTTCAATGAAACTTATTCACCTGTTGTCAAGCTCACCTCCATAAGACTACTCTTGTCTTTGGCAACTATACATGGTTGGTCATTGGCTCAATTGGACATAAATAATGCATTTTTAAATGGTGACCTTTTTGAAGAAATTTACATGGATCTTCCTCAAGGGAATCTAATTCAGTATAATTCTTCTAGTCAGGGGAGAAAATGGTATGCAAGATGCATAAATAAATTTATGCCCATAGACAAGCCTCTAGACAGTGGTTTAATAAACTTGCTTCCCTTTTACTACAACTTGGTTTCAATCAGTCTAAAAATAATTACTCCTTTTTCACTAAAGGATCTCAATCTAAATTTGTGGCTTTATTGGTGTATGTTGATGACATTATGATAGTTGGACCCTCTTCAACTTTGATTGAGCAGACTAAAACTCAATTGAAAGAGGTGTTTAAACTCAATGATCTTCGTAGCCTCAATTATTTCTTAGGTCTGGAAATTGCCAGATCCAAGCAATGAATTTTTCTATGCACACCCTGTCTCTGTTAGAAGATATTGATTTCCTTGATTGCAAACCTGCTCTTGTTCCCAGGGAAGCCAACCTCAAACTTAATCAGACTGATGGTTCTCTTTTACCTGACAGTAGCGTTTTCAAAAGGTTAATTAGCATATTACTTTATTTCACAATTTCCATGCCTGACATAAGCTATGTTGTCCACAAACTAAGTCAATTTCTATCTCAGCCAAGAGAGCCTCACCTCCATGCTGCTCATTACTTACTTCGCTATCTAAAAGGCACTCCTAGACAGGGTTTGATTTTTTTTTTCTACCAATTCAAGGTTAAACTTACAAGCCTATGCAGATGCTGATTGGCCTACCTACATTGATACTAGAAAATCTATTTATGGTTTCTGTGTTTTTCTTGGTGATTCCCTCATCTCTTGGAAGTCCAAGAAGCAAACAACTATTAGTAGATCTTTTGCAGAAGCTGAGTACCGATCCTTGGCTGCTTTGGCAAGTGAATTAACCTGGTTGCAAAATTTATTAATGGATTTTGGCATTGCTCCTAAGCCATCTTTAGTATTTTGTGACAATCAAGCTGCGATTCACATTGCTACCAATCCCACATTCCATGAGCGCAACAAAGCATATAGAAATAGATTGTCATTTTGTTAGAGAGAAAGTCAATTCTGGTGCATTGAAACTCGTTCATGTTCCTTCCAAACACCAATTGGCTGATGTCTTCACCAAGCCTCTTCCTCAGCAGCAATTTCATTCTCTAATTGGCAAGATGGGTGTTCTAAACATATTCACTCCATCTTGAGGGGGAGTATTATACTGTTACAACTTGTTATTTCAGTTAAAGTTTGTTAGCTCATTTTGTTGATCCTTTGATCTTTCTTCTTATATAAATAATGTCCTCTATGCATACATTAGTTAATGAGAAATTCATTCTTGTTCTTTACGTGTTCTTTTCTCTCGCCACTTCCATGCATAATAGTTCTCAATCAAGTTTTTTTTTTATTGACTTTTTGAACATACTATTTTGTATTGTTAAAAAACTTGCAAATATTAATATGGATATCAATAAATTGTATTTATTTTATTTATAAGAGAAAATAATACAAGAAATGAGTCAAAGTGTCAATTTTATAGAAATTTCAGTTAATGATTGCATTAGTAAAGTGTTGGAAAATGATCATCCTGGACGTGTACATTGTCTGAGACTAGGAGACTTTCATAGTATTGCATTTCAATCTACCACAAGATTTAGTAGTGTAGGATGCAATTTCTTAAATTTTGATTCAAGTGGAAACTCTTAATTGAAAGAAGAAGTTATTCATTTAAGAAAAAAATTAGCAACTTCTAAAGATAAATGTTAAAACGTTAAAAAGTGTCATGTTTGCATATATCCAAATGAAGGAAGGATACACTCCTCCCGAGTTGGGTGTCATGTTTGGTAATATAAGTAATATAGTTGTAAGTATTTTATATTTTTTTTAAATAAAATTATATTATTTAATACTTGTATGAAGTTCAATATCTTGTATATAATATCTAATTATACTTACATAATATGATATTTATATTATAAGATGAAGAGAGTGGATAAGATATATCATCATCACAAAAAGATTTTTATTAGATAATAATTTCATAAAGTTTAACATTATATATACGTATTTCATATTTTGCACTAAATAGAATTATATTGTTAATTTTTAGTACGAGGTTTAATATTTTGTATATACTTTTTAATTATGCTAAAATGATAGGATTTTGATTCATATGATGAAAAGAATAAATGAAATATATCAACATTACAAAGAGAATAAATATTCATTTGATAGTAATTTTCATAAAATTTCACATTAATATGTTGCATTTTTTTAAGATAAGATTTTATTCTATCTTACTTGAATAATATTTAACTAATCATTTTGACAAATTATTATTATAATTATCATAATATTTTAAAATAATTCTAAATAAAAATAGGTATTTTAATTATTAATTATAAAATTATTAAAAAATTAATTCATTAATTAAAATTTGGGTTATTAATAAAATAATTAAAAAATTGTAGTTAAATCATTTTTAGTAATTTCTTAAATCTTCAATAAATTTTAAATAATTATAAAAGATTTTATATTTTGTAACAGTTTTTAATTGTTAAAATATAAAAAGTAATCATAAAAATAAAATAAAAGTGAAATCCGTAACAGTTTTAAAGTGAAACAAAATGTTAAATTAATAAATTTAGAATATATTTTTTGACGATTTTTAATTGTTAAAAATTATTTTTCTTTTTTGGCATAAATACCAAAATTTTATTTTTTTGGTCACAAATTATTTTTTACATATATAAATAAAATAATTATTTTAATTATTACAAATTTTATTTATAACGATTTTTAAATTTTTTAAATTTATTATTTTAATAGGTAAAATCCATTCTCACCTAAGTAGAGGAGAATCAATCGTCTTTTTCAGGTATTAAATTATACCTATTTTTAATTACTATTATTAAATAATAGTTATATTATATATATATATATATATATATATATATATATATATATATATTTAGGATTAATAATGTTATTAATAGACATAATCTGATAATGATAATAAATTTTTTTCATTCTTACATTTTTCATTAATATTAAATTATACTTTTATTTAATTATTACTATTAAATAATAACTTGTGTTTGTTATATATGTATTTAGTATTAATAATATTATTAATATATTAATACTAATAAAAATACTATTTATTAGTGTATTAACGATAAATTATTAATTTTATAATTGTCAATTATTTAAAATATTATATAATATATAAATATTTGATATAATTTTATAAGATAATTGTAAAATATAATATAACTATAAATTTTAGTAAAAAGAATATGTAAATTAGATAATCAACATTAAACCTATATTTAACAGTCTTGATATTAATACTAATAATAATGTAAATATTGATTTTAATTTCAGAAAAAAAAATATCAATAATATAATAATATGAATAATATCATTATTTGTGTATTAGCACTTCAAATAAAATAACAAGAAAAACTAGATGAAATAATGATACATAAATAGATAAGAATCTAAATTTATTATTTTCATATAGTTTTATATTTTATTCATTTATCTTTTTTTACCTTATATAATTATTTTTATACGAAATCTACTATAATAATTATTTTAAAAATTATAGTAAGATTCTTTTTAATTACTAGTCCAATAATTTTAATGTGAAACAATTAAAAAAATGAAGTGGGTAAACAATTTTTTTTTAACTTTTCTATTTTAAATAATAACTCATCTTTCATTTTTAATATAATTTATCCTAATTATATTTTATTTTAAATTATATATTTAATATAAAGATAAAAATGTAATCTTATAATTTTATCAATTAAAATATTTTTTTAATCTATCAAATCAATGCAGATTTTTCTCTAATCATTTCTTTATCAACTTTCTCTTTTCTAAACAACTTCATTCACTCTGAATTCTCTTTTCCCTTAAATTCCCTCATTTCAATTTGTAACGTTGAAAGTATACAGTAAATATATATATATATATATATATATATATATATATATATATATATATATAAAATATGTTAAACCTAAAATTAAAATATTTTATATTATTTTATTGAAATAGATAAACATCCACCAATGCACAAACATTTTCCTCTAATCATTAATTAATTTTTTGTGTTTGGATTTTCTATTTGATATAATTATTAAAAATTATTATAGTTTTATGAATGTCAGATTACTCATATCAAACAATCATTTTAAAGAAAATTTGAGCTAAAACATGAATATTTAAATATATATATATATATATATATATATATATACATTATTTAAATATTTAAATAGAAAAAAAATTCTTATAAAAAAGATAAATATTTTATTCCTCGGATGTTGCTTAACTTTGAATTTTTTATTTTATTTAATTATTAAAAAAATCAGTTTTATAAATGTCAAAATATTTATATAAAATAATATTTTTTGATGATAGAGATAAATCATTATTTGAATTATAAAAAGTATATATATATATATATATATATATATATATATATATATAAAGATTGAACCTAAAATAAATATATTAAAAAAAACTCTTTTTATATTATTTAATTATTGAAATAAAGGAACATCAAATAGCAGTCTCATAATAGATAAAGTCAAACATTTTCCTCTTCTAAGAAATAGATGTCAAAATATTCCCATCAAACCACAAGTTGTGAGAGATAAAAAAAATTGTTTAGAAGATTAAACCCAAACAAAATATTAAAAATATCTTATTTTATGTTATTTAATTATAAAAATAGAGGAACACTAGAGTGTAGTCTATTATTAAAAAAATCATTATAACATTAAGAATGTCAAAATATTCACATCAAACCCTTATCATGGGAGAAAGTTGGGGCAAAATGATAAAACAAAATTATAGAGAATACAAAACAAAAATATAAAAAAAAATAGAGGAATACACAGAAGAACATTCTTATAATATAAAAAAATACAATTTTTTTCTTCTAACAAGTAAGATTTGGTACTTCTAATATCGTATTTCCAATTATATTTTTTATTTTCTGTAATTATTAAAAAATGACTAAAATTTTATCAATAATATTACATCAAACAATCATTTTGTAGCAATCAAGGTAATCATTAATGAATTATTAAAAAAATATGTAAAAAGGTTGAACTCAAATTAAAAATGAAAAACATGAAAATGTAAATCAAGGATAAGCTATCTTACATCAAAAAGATATCATAAAAACCTCAAAATTTAAAATAATAACACAAAACTTTATAACTAATAACATGGTCTCATCACTTATATATCTCGTTACAAAGTAAACATTTTTTCAAGATTTTGAATCTAAATTTCCTTTCAATAAGGTATGTAAACTTATGAATTTAAAGATAATAATAAGACTATTTGTGAGAACGGAAGATAAGAACGAGAGGTAAGAAATAAAAGAAATGTGTTTTTGTTTTTAATCTATGCGGATAATTTATATACAGAGATGATAATTAAAGGAAAGTATATTTTTATAAAATTGAATTATTCTTTTAAATTAAAATATCTTTAAAAATATAAAAATATTATATTTTAAGATTTCTATTTTATTTAATCATTATATTTAAAATATAATGAAGAAAGTACAAATATTTAAAAAAATTATATAAAAAATGAACATTTTTATAAAATACACTTAATTCTGGAAATATTTTATAAATTCTTACACATTAATTAATATATATTATTAGATAAATTGAGAGAAGTATTACATTTATATATTAATTATTAAATAATTTATAAATATCTATTATTTAAATGATGATATTATTGTATATTTATATATTTAAATAATATAAAAAATATAATATTTTAAAAATACTGTACAAAGAGATTAAAAAAGATATATTATTAATAAAAGATTAAAAGAGAAACGTGCTATAAATGTATAAATAAAAAGAGTAATTATGAAGTGAAAAGCAGATACAAAGTTTGAGCCTTGGTTTTGCCCGCTTCTTCACAATCTTCAAATTACACGGTTGAATTCATTTGTCTTGAAATTAAAGAGAAGCAGAGAAACCTTGCACTTGGAGGATCATCAATGGCTGTCAAAATTTACATTGTGTATGCACTTTTTAAACCTTTCTTGTCTTCATTGGTTCATTGAATCTAGTGTCCATGTGATGTGTTACTGTATCCCTGGCTCACATTTTTCTATTCATTTTCAGTATCTTGTTCTTTCTGTCTTGCATGGATTTTTCTATTCATTTTCAGTATCTTGTTCTTTCTGTCTTGCGTGGATTGATGCATGTTCAGCATGTTTCTTTACTAGTTTAATTTAAAATCTTTCAAATTTTTATGTTCTTTGAGTTTCTTGGACTCTGACCCTCTGGGGTATGATGACAAATGATTCATTTTGAACAAACGGGGATTTTCTGTCACATTGATAACAATTATGGGCAGATTGTTCCAACAATGAACAAACTTGCGAGCCCCGTGGATAAATTGGAAAAAAAAAAAGGTGAGACATAGAACTATAAGAAAAGTTTGATATCAGAGGAGGGACATTTTCTCCACAAAAAGACCATCCACTGATAAATTTGCATTTCCTCTCACTTTTGTATTGTCACCAGTAATTTGCATTTCTAAAGTAAACTATTGAGCATGTTCTGTCTTTTCATTTTACAAAAAAGTATGAAACTTGTTTTAATTTGACAGGTACTATTCAATGTATGGGCATATAGAGAAACTAGCAAAGAACGTCGAGGAAGGGGTTAACTCTGTAGAAGGTGTTGAGGCCAAACTATGGCAGGCATGTGTTTATGTTTCATTTATTGCAGTTCCTAACCCTATGCATTTTCCATTTCTCCACAGCATAAAACCAATATTGTCTTAGATCTATCAACATAATAATCGGTTTTCAAATTTGGATTCATCATCATTGTTCCTTCAGTGTGACCATACGCCTCCTTTTCTTTATTGAACAAACAAACAGGTACCGGAAACACTGCCAACTGCGGACCTTGATGAGTTGAGGGCACCACCAAAGAGCAATGTACCAATCATTCAACCCAATGACCTCTCTGAGGCTGATGGTTTTATCTTTGGCTTCCCAACAAGATTTGGAATGATGCCTGCTCAGTTTAAGGCTTTTCTAGACTCTACTGAAAATCTACGTAAAAGACAAGAGCTTGCAGGCAAACCTGCTGGAATCATCACCAGCACCAGCTCCCAAGGTGGTGGACAAGAGATTACAGTGTAAGACCCTCTCCCTTGTTGTAATTTCTGATAAAAAAGTTGTACAAGAGTTCATGGTAGACCAATCAGAAATCATAATTAACATGACTGCTTTCTAACATAGCTATACTAAAAATGATCAAAATTAACATGTTATGTGATAAAATAAAAAGTGTAACGAATGTTTACATTTTCAGTACAGATATGATTTATTCGTTGTGAAATGTATGACAGGCTTACTGGTATCACCCCGCTGGTTCATCATGGAATGATATTTGTTCCATTTGGAATAGGATTTACATACAGCTATGAGTTCCGGGATATGCAGGAAGTGAGAGGTGGAACTCCATATGGTGCAGCAACTTATGCTAGAGGAGACGGGCCAATATTCTTGGAGTCGATGCATGCGAAAGAGCATGGCTATTACTTCGCCCACGTCACAAAGCAGCTCAAGGAAGCTTCTGAATAATGTTGAAAGATATTCAATACACTGTTAATGATTCTTTCTGTTGCACATAAATCCCTTCCAATCACAATGATGACCATGTTGAAAGATAAAGAGTTATGATACTCAGATAATCCACTTTTCACTAACATCTACTCAATAACTTCTTCTTTTATTATTATTATTATTATTTATCTATTTTATTTTATTCTCTTTTCCTCCATCAATAAATCTTTTCCTAAAAATAAATTCGATTTTAAAACATGGGATATTGGTTAGGATAATAAAAATTTATCGCTGAACTCAATGTAACTCTTCAATCCAACTAAAACTTGTGGATTTAAAAATTTTAAAAATCATTAATAGGTCTATATTAAAATAATTAATTAAAAAAAAATTATATAAAAATTTAAAATAAAAAATATATTTTTAAAATGTAAATTATATTAATAAAATTAATTTTTCCTTTAAATATAAAGATTTAATATATAAATTATTAGATAAAAGATTCATTATCATTCTTATTTTTTTTAATAATTTATTAATTTAAAATAATAATTCATCTTAGTCAATGTATCATTAAATTAGTAGATGCTAAAGACTTATTTTTATATTTATTTTTATAATAAGTGAATTTTTTATCAAATTAATTTAAAATATATATAAATTTTTTAAATAAAATAATATTAATTTTACTATTATTTAAAAAATAATTATTATTTGTAAAATAAAAAATTTATAAATTTATGTGCTAATTTAACCTAAACTTATGTAAGTGATAATTTAGATAAGTTAGGAAAAAACAAGTCTGATTGAATTTAAGACACAAATTTTTTAATTTTAATCTAGCCTATTTCTTTAACTTTTCTTTTTTATGTTACAATTTTTTTAACAAATAACATGTCTTGATGTGTGTTTAATATGGAGGAGAGTAGCTAATAAATATATATATATATATATATATATATATATATATATAATAAAAGAGATATAAATAATGAGAGAGTTGGTTTCATTTAAAAAAAAATTAAGAGATTAAATTATTTTTAATAATAATAAGCATAATAATAACATGTACTTAATATATATTAATTTATTTCAATATGTAAGTGATTCATTAAATTAATATTTTGACTTAGGACGACAAATTAACATATACCTTATATTAGCTTAAAATTTAAATATATGAAGACCAAATTAGCTTAACAATTTTTGAAATACTAAATATAACATAAACTATAAAAATACAATTAAACTTTCTAATTAATAAAACCATTTTATTATAAAATAAGAGTTTTCTTACATAAATAATATTAAAAACTGTAATGGGTCATTGTGGGCCATGAGGTACCTAAAAGGTACACAGGAATATGACTTGTTATTTTGAATTCAAAAAAACAAATGGTCATCAAATTTATGAATGTTCCTGGAGTATCTCATATAGCGCAGCTAAACATATATTGAGTATCTAAAGGGTACACTAGACTATAGTTTGTTATTCCTAAGAGGAAATGAACATATTAAAACTACTATAAAAATTTTCTTCCGCTTAGATTGGTGTGGAGATAAAGTGAAGAGGAAGAGTACGTTTGAATATTTGTTTAAATATCTATATGCACCAATTTTTTTATGTTCAAAAAGACAAAATGTTGCAACTCTCTTCATGTGAAGTTGAGTATATAGATTCTTTTGAAGCTGCATGTTAAAGCTTGTTAAACTTGAACTAGAACTCAATTAAACGAAACTTGTATAACTTTTATTGACAACAAATTTGTTAGATGATAATTTAATAATAATGTTGTAATGATTGTATCAGTTAGGTTATAGTTAGCCTAACAAACCTTAATAACTACTTTAAATACTGTGTCTCTATAGTATTTCGATCCAAGTAGTGTTATTATATAATTTGTTTTTACATTCAATATAATTTATATTCAATGTACGTCTTTCTCTAGATACTCTTTGTAATTGTTTTTGGACCCTCTTTTCCACTATATGGTATCAAGAGCTTCAAGATTCGAGGAGAAAAAGAAGAAGAATGACAATAATAAGAACTGAGTTACATGACAACATGAAAAATGCTCGATAAAAAAAATTTGAATAGCTATGATAAATGGTGAGTGAAGATGAAAACTATTTTTGGATTCCAAGAAGTCTTGCATACAGTCTTGAATGGATATGATGGTTTATCGGAGAATCTCACCGATGCATAACGTGTTGTTTCGTAATACGAAGAAACATGATTATAAAACTTTGTTTTACATTCATCAATATGTCGATGAAAATAATTTTGAGAAGATCTCATTAGTAAATAAGACAAAAGAAGCGGACATACTGACGCAAAGTTATGCAAGAGTAGAAAGGTTGGAGATGGTGGGACTTCAAACCTTACATCGACAATATGAGTTGTTGTAGATAGGGATGCAAGAAACCATCCAAAAATATTTTTCAAGATTGATGTCAATTACAAACTTGATGAAGTCATGTGATGAAAGCTTGAAAGAACAAATGGTGGTAGAGAAGGTGTTGAGGATCCTTGATGCAAGATTTGATATAATTTTAGTTGTTATCGAAGAGTAAAAAGATCTCGATTTGTTGAACATTGATGAATTACAGGGGTCATTGGAGGCTCACGAATAACAGTTACATGAGAGATTAGAAGAGAAGTCCAACACAGAACATAAGTTGTTGACAAAACAAAAGAATGAAGGTAATAGAGGAAAATTGAACAAGAGAGGTCGAGGAAGAGAAAAAGGTAAAAATAATGGTGGATAAGACTCAGAAAGACAACCAGAGAGCTCTTCACAATCGAGAGATGGCAGAGGCATAAACTCAAAATGGAGAGGTGCATCTGGCTCTGGTGTGAGCAAGAAGAATGTGTAATGTTACAATTGTAACAAGTATGACCATTATGCTTCTGACGGTTGGAGCAAAGAAGAAGAAGTAAATGTTGCATAAAAGGAAGACTTGAAGGATGAAGTGTTGTTAATGGTGACCACGAGGAAATCATTGTAGACTTTTGGTGAATCTTGGTATTTGGATACTGGTTGTTCGAATCATATGTCCTTTCAAAAGAGTTTATTTATCAATCTCGATGAGAGTGTTAAATCCAAGGTAAAATTTTCTAATAATTTGATAGTGAATTGTGAAGGGAAGGTAGAATCATGGTCAGAAGAAGAGATAACAAATCTGCAATAATTTTGGATTTACTTTATGTTACAGCCATAAAACACAATTTGTTGAGTATCAGACAATTTCAGAAAGGATATTTGATTGATTAGAGATCGAGAGAGTAGATGTTGAGAATCCTCGATAATAATGGGACACCGATTTTGAAGGTACCTTTAAGTAAGAAAGTTTTTTAAGTCGATATTTCAATATCGAATAACTTGTGTTTTGCAGTAACAGTCTTGGATGTCAATTAGTTATGACATTTGAGGTATGGTCATCTTGACTTTGATAGTTTGAGTCACCTTATAGAGAATAAGATGGTGATTGAACTGCGTCGAGTCCAAAAATGTAAAGACATATGTGAAAGTTGCATGATAAGGAAACAAGTAAAAAACCCTTTTAAGGTGCAAATCGAGATCAAAAGCAAGGATATGTTGAAAGTTATCTACATCGATGTGTGTAGACCCTTCGATGTTTCTTCACTAGGTGGAAACAAGTATTTTGTGATGCTCATCAATGACTATAGCAAGAAGATGTGGGTGTACTTGCTTGCAAGAAGTCAGAGGTGTTTAGTCACTTCGTCAATTTTAAATCGATGGTTGAGAAACAAAGTGGTAGAGCTATCAATGTATTGAGATTGGACAGTGGTGGTGAGTACAACAATGGTGATTTTGCATCATTTTGTAAGGAGGAAGGTATTATGCATGAGATAGTACCTCTGTACACACCACAATACAATGGAGTTACGAAAAGAAGAAATTAAACAATTTTAAATATGAACAAAAGTATGTTAAAGATCAAAGGCTTGCCACATTCATTTTTGGGAGAAGCGGTATCGATCGCAGTATACATCTTGAATCGATGTCCAACAAAGAGAGTGAAGGAGAAAACACCCGAGGAAATATGGTCTAGGAGAAAGCCAAATGTAAAACACTTTAAAATATTTGACTTGATTGCATGGAGGCATGTTCTAGAGGAGAAAAGGAAGAAGCTTGATGATAGAAGCCAGAAGTTGATTTTGGTAGGATATCATGCAATTATTGTATATAAATTTATGTTCCTATCAAGAAGAAGATCATCATCATGAGAGATGCTGGTGTATGGGGGAAAGATTGTTGGAAATTGTATTCGATGGTGGAAAATCGAAGTGTTAGCTTTGATGACTCAGGTGATGTAGAAATCGAAGGAAAAAATCAATCAATTTCTAGTGTCGAATGAGGTGAAAATCGAAAAAAATTTGTATTCAAAGGAGGAGGAAGAAATCGATTGATATCAGAAATCGAAAGGAGTGGGAATAGATCGAGACTTGATATCGATGACAAAAATCAACCAATTTCAAGAATCGAAGGAAGGAGAAATTGACCTACAAGATCGATTAGAACACCTGTAAGATTCAAGATTATGTGATCAATATTGATGATATTGTCAAATGATTGGAGAAATGGAGGACGAGAATGATCTTGACCTAGCACTATATGTTGACGTCGAGCCTGAACTAGTTTACTCTGAAGAAGCAATCGAGAATCTCAAGTGAGTCGAAGCTATGAAAGAGGACTTGTTGGTAATCGAGAAGAATAAAATATGGTAAATAACTAATCTCTCAATCAAAGGCCAATTAGAGTAAAATGGGTGTACAAGACGAAATTAAAATCTAACAGAACAGTTGCAAGAAATTAAAAGTACAGTCATGAGCTTACAACCAACCAATACATCAAAGTCATTATTTAAGAGTACGAGTTACGAGCCTAATCTAACACTATTTAAGAGTCAATACTCTCAATTTGCAAATGGGACAAATATTTTTTTCTTGTAACCATCTCCGTATACAATTTATGTGATATTCATGTCCGCAT